AAAAAAAAAAAAAAAAAAAAAAAAAAAAAAAAAAAAAAAAAAAAAAACACAAAACAACAAAACAACACGTCCATGGAGACAGAGCGTGGAAAATGAAATGGGTCATTAATTAATCAATGTCAGTGAAAAGATCAACCAAAACACAACTAAACCAAAGATCGACACGATAACCCTGCCACCCTCACACGTCGCCGTAGCGACAGCGCACTACACAACAACCACTTGTCTGCACGTGGGCGCTTCTCACATCGCCCCTCCTCGCCTACGTCTTCGACTGCGCAAACGCAGTCTGCCCCCGGCGCAGCCACACACCCGATAGCGCTCGGATCCTAACACAACGAAATAAACTGCCGACACACGCCGCCGCGTGCCCAGACAACCAAACTATGACGCCCACCACCGCCACACTACTCGCGAGATCCGACCGATGGACGACAAACACAACGGCGACAACTCGTTGTAAGACATGAAGCACCCCGCGTCTTCTACCACGATTTCTACCTTCCACCCCGTGGGACACGACCGCGTTTAATCGCCTCAGCCACGCCATCAAGGCCGATCCCTCCGCTCGCCTCGGCGTCTTCACTGTGCCGCCATTCGCTCAGCCAGTGCGTCACGTAGAATGAGGGCATCCCCTGTGGAGGACTCCATGCACATCTGCCTCACGGGACGATCCATCCCAAGATCCACCCTGCGACGAACACCATCCGGCCCGACCTCCCAGAGCAGATTGTTGTTGAACGGGATGCCCGCGTCGATGAGTATGTTGTGGAGAATGCAGACGTCCACGAACTGCTGCGGCAACGTCTCCATGTTCGTCTTGTGGGATCGAAGGAACAACCTCCACATCCCCTTCAGTCTGCCAAAAGCCCTCTCCACTGCGCCCCTCGCCGTCTTCTGCTTGTTATCGAAGCGCATCTCCACAGGGTTTTGGGATACACCGCCGTAAGGGACGACAACCCATTCGGAGGGCGGGTACCCGTTGTCCCCCAGCAGATATCCGTCCATCCGCACACCGAAAGGCAGCATGACAGGTGGGCCGGTGAAAAGCTCTCCCGCCTCCGCGTGTGCCCATAAACTGGATAGATGGACGATCCTGACGTCGTGGCAACTTCCCGGATAACCGACGAACACATCCAGCACGCGCAAGTTCAAATCCACGACGACCTGTGTCTGCACGGAGAAACACCGTTTCCTATCGTAGTAGTCCTCCCCTGGGCAATTCGTAGGCTTGTCGATGAAGATGTGGGTGCAGTCGATGCACCCATGGCAGTTGGGGAAACCCTTGTCAGCGAAAGCGCGCAAGACGACCGCCTACTGCAGACCCGTCGGCCACGAGATCTTGTCAGGGAACGCACTGAGCAACACCGCAGTCACATCCCTCACCGCCACCAACCCGGAAGATCTGCCAATGCCAAAGCTGCATGTCCCACTCTCGTATGTCTCCCCCGACACCCACCTGTACAAAGCGTAGGCGACAATCTGGTCTGGCTGGAGGGGCTCCCTGTAGAAAGTGACACGTCGCTCGAGGAAGGGAGACAGAGCTTTCGTTATCTCTTGGAATACACGTGGCGACATGCGTAGCTTCTCCCTGAAGTAGTCCGCCGTCGCGTCGTCGCATAGCCGAAGATCCTCCCACGTGCCGCCTGTACGTCGCTTCATCCACCATCTGGGCGTCGCTCTGGGGAACGCTCCACACCCCATGGCGTAGCACACCTGCAGCACGGCGTCGCAAATGGCAGCGCTGTCGTCGCCCCCCACAGACGGCGACTGCAGCGTCCGTTTCCGCCGCGCGCGAATGGCCGCTCTCATCCTCCCCTCGCCCCTCTCCAATTGGCACCGGAAGAGGACGACGCTCATGGCCGCTGCCACCGCAGTCCTCTCCACCTTCAATAGCGCATGACGCATGTCCATCCCCTCCGACGCCATCGCCGTAAACGTTACTGAGGATCCGCCCTTCGCGAAGTGCAGAAGACCGCAGACCACGAATCAACAGCGAGGATCTGCACGTCCAAACCCCCCCCCCGTCGCCCGTCGCGGAGTGCAGAAGACGCCAGAGCGCGACGCGGGCCGCAAAACAGCGCTGCCAGCAGTGAAGACGACAGTGCTCAGCGCAACCGGCGATGGAAATCCACGTTCCCGAAAGCGGGAGGACGAACGCGATCGTGACACGCCGTCTCCACTGCTTCCAACGCGTACATGTACGTTCCGCGTGTCGTCAGAAGCACGCCGCCGCTGATATCCGAAACGGCCACCGCCGAACAACGTCGCTGCCGTCACCCGCAAGGGACGCCCACGCTTGCACACGCTTGTTCTCAAAAATTCGAATTCAAATTTCGAACTGGGACACCGCACCTTTTCCGTGCCATTTTTTTTTTCCCGCCGCAGAGCCCGGTCATGCACGCCGCCAGCGTTGGACCACCCACACCCACACGGACATGCAGGATGGACCAAACGCCGACCACCCCCCGCGTCCACTCGTCGATATATGAAACTGGCCGCTGGACGCCCCGAGGAATCGTCCTCGGGGAACATTTCCAAGGATGAGTGGAACGAAGGCGGGATTTTCCTCCGGCGACTCCAAGGAATCGTCCTCGGGGCCCGAGGATGCCCCGAGGAGTGTCGAACGAGCCCCTCAGCCGAAGCCGGGTAATGGCCCCGGTGTTATAAACTGATGTATGTTCATATGGGACGCTGGGCCCGGTTCCCAGCACGTGCTGCTCCCCACGAATAGACTGAAGATTCTTGTCCCAAAAAAAAAAAAAAAAAAAAAAAAAGCTTCCAAATGGTGTCAAGGTGCCMCCCCCCGCCGCACCGGCCGCACAGGTATAGGAATCAACACCAAACTCGTGCCAGTGGGATTTGGCCCCCGGTGTTCCCGATGTGAATGAGAACATCCTTCTGGGCTTGCCTCTTTTTTTTTTTTTTTTCCTTCTCTCAATTTCACCTTTCACTGTCTACCTACCACTACTCCTAAGCCCTCATAGGTGGTGGTCAGGGAGCAGGGTGGGGCCGCCCTTGGGGGGGGACGGTTAACGCAAAGACCGAGCATTTTGCAAGTAGCTGCGATGGGGCGTGCCTTTTTATCTTTTTTTTTTTTCTTTCTTGCAGCTTCAAAAAGGATGCTTTTCCAAGGCTGACGGCTGTTTTCTTTTTTCTTTCTTTCTTTTTTTTTTAACTCCAGCCACAACGCCTGGGTCTTTCCCCCAAAAAACAAGATAAAAAAGAAGGCACAGCTTTCAGCGCGCCTTCTTGACGCGTCTGCACACCGTTTGCCAAGCTATGGATCGTGTTCGCTGAATCAAGCCCTTTTGCTGCATTCTTCTTTTTTTTTTTTTTTTTTTTTTTTTTTTTTAAGGCCACGCGTTTAGGTTCGGCTTGGCCTACACTTTGCTGTCTCTACTCCTGACCTCAGGGCATACTCACACCAACACGTTTTTACTTATTTTTGGACGGAATTGCAGCCAGATGCATACACATCGGGCCGTAAATGCGGTCAGGTACAGTTAAGAGAGTGGTAGTGTGAGTACGCCCTAAATTTAAGAGCCTGGCTCCACCACACCTCACATGCAGAAAGTACAAAATTATATGGCGGTGTATCTTTCCTTGTTCTATTCCAAGATTCATTCTCTTTTGGCGCATTTGGTGAAAGGTCTAGCGAGGTGGACAGTTTTTGAAACAGCTTCGCAGAAAGGCTCCGCCTGGGGCCAAGTCCCAGTACCCTCTTTCCCCGAATATAACGTACGGTCATTATAGCTGTATCTAGACTGAACGATGCCTTAAATACAGCTATAATGACCATACGTTGTACTCGGGGGAAGAAGGTAGCTGTCAGGAAAGTACAAAAATGAGGACCGTTCGCGTGCGTGACAGGCTTTTCAGCCGCAGATAGCAAGGGAATCGGAGGGTCCTAGATCTTTCTCACACTCTCATTGGCCATCAACTCTGCCAGGTATTCTTTCTCATTGCTGAAGGGGTTTTCATTTCTGGCCGGTGTTTTGATGGGTCAGGAATGTCCCAAAAAAAAAAAAAAAAAAAAAAAAAAACAGACCAGAATTTGAAAAAGAAGGTGAGAAATTGTGTCAGTCTGAGCAGACTGCCAGAATTTGAAAAAGAAAGGTGAGAAAATGTGTCATTCCGAGCAGACTACCCTTGCACCTATTCCCGACTGTGTGAGTGGATAGATTGCAACACCTAGGTGAGGACGGTCCGGCAAGCATGGGCTGGAGGATTCTCTCTCTCTCTCTCTCTCTCTCTCTCTCTCTCTCTCTCTCTCTCTCTCTCTCTCTCTC